GCAACTCAAACCACCACAGCACGACAGACAGACGAGTGGTGGCCGTTTGGTTTTATGTCTATACTGTCTCTTTAAATTTCTATGTCAATCTTGATACAATCCTGATATAATCAAGATATATATAAGATATAATCAAGATACAATCAAGATGTTCTCTCCTAATCATATCAATCCTGGTATAATCCTATCAATCCTTATATAATCAAGATACAATCAAAATGTTCTCTCCTAATCCTATCAATCCTGGTACAATCAAGATAAGCTTTCCCAAGATGGCGGCTCCTGGAACAGCTGAGTGTCTTGATCCAGAAAATAATGAATTTCTGGATTGTCCTGCAAATTCCCCAGTTATAAACCCTCCAAAACTCCAAACATACCTTCATATTTGTTACAGAGTTCCAACACCAACTCATGAGTCCTCTTGACCTGGTATTCCGTGTTGTTGTTGACCGAGCTCCTCACTACACGTCTACCCGATCCGCCATCTAATGAGGCAGGTTTCTCCTAAGCACAACTAAATGTTTGGGAATACTTATTCTCTGCAATGCTGTCCTCCACAGTTTATCATGATACAAACAGTTGAAAACCTTTTGCATAGTCAATAAGTAAATATCTTTCTGATATTCTCTGCTTTCAGTGAAAATCCAAATGACACCAGAAATGATATCCCTCATCACACATTCTTGTCTGAATCTGGCTTGAACCTCTGGCAGTCCCCTGTCAATGTTCTGTTGCAGTCATGTTTGAATTATTTTTTGCAAAATTTTACTTGTATTTAATATTACTGATATAGTAAGCTATACAACCTTATTTTTCAGGAAGTTATCTCTTCTGGGAAAATCTAAAACATAAATCAAAACCAAAAATGTACAACTGTGCTTTCGGTTATTTTTTTGTTGTTGTTGCTGTTTTTTTACCCTTTTCTTTTTCAAAAGTCACAGTAAGGGCAAGAATAGATTTATGTTCCAAAAACTGAAGTGAATTAGGCTATAAACTACTCAGTATCTTGAAGCCAGAGGATTGCTTTCAACTAAAATTAGATGCAGTTTTCAGTGTCATACAAGTGTAGGTAGCTTCACCAGTCGACTAAACCCTCTAAATAAAAGGTCAGTCCATGGTAATGCTGTGGGAAGAAGGGCTGGCACAAACACTGTCTCCAAGAGTGCAGGTTAGGATAACCTTTTCAGAAGGCAATTTAGCAACATTGATCAAATCTTTAAATGCATTCATCCTTTGACCTACCTAGCAACTCTACTTCTGGAAATCTGTTTTACAGAAATACTATCCTACATGTGTGTGTGTGTGTGTGTGTGTGTGTGTGTGTGTCTACATTTATTTATTTATTTACACACACAAACACACACACACACACACACACACACACACACGGAGTCCTGGCAATAAACATCAAATGCTTTTCCTATTTTTTGTTGTTGTTGTTGCTGCTTTTTATAAATAAAGTTTTATTGAAGAACAATAATGCTCAATCATTTGTGTATTTTTTTGGGCTCTGGACATAAAGTAAATTTGTTTCCTGGAATAGCCACATTTCCTCATAAAAAGTCTAACTTCCCCAGGAAGTGGTTTATATTTTATTTTAGCTTTTAATTGTGAAATGGGTGAAGATTTACAGAGCAGATTTAAAGTTTTCCATTCAACAATTCATATACATTTTGTTTCATTTCATTTATAGGAATTTCTACGCTGTAACGTCAGTTTTCCCACCTACTTCCTCCCTATGTTTCCTGTTTCTATCCTTCTTTCTTTCCTAATCATTCTGAACTTTGTCCTTAGGTAAATGTTGCCCTTTTGATCTCAAATGCTGACAAATGATTGATTATTCTAAAGTATGCATACCTCCCCAATGCTATTATTCCTTATATATTTGACTGTTGGTTGGCTGAAAATTAAGCCATGAAGGTGAATTCATTTCTAGACCTGAATGGTGACTAAGGACCATAGTCTCAGGGATTCCACCAGTTTCTATCCAACTGGTTGTTGTTGTTATTCTTAGATGCCGTGAAGTTGGTTCCAACTCATAGGGTTTCCAAGGCTACAAATTTTTATAGTAACAGAAAGCTTCACCTTTCTCCCAATTCAACCAGTAGGCAGGTTTTTTTGTTTTTATGATTTTTGAGTTTTGCTCTACATTTCTTCCCATTCTATCCAGGAAATTCTAATACGGCCTCTTTCAGAGCAGTTGGTAGTAGCAGTCAGGCAACATTTATTTTCTTATGGTCTCAGTGGTTATGAGGACTGATGTTCATGTGGTCTTTTATTTAGTCCAATAGACTAATGCTTACAATGTGTCTTCAATTGTCTTCATTCTTCTTTCCTCCAGACAGGGAGAGACCCACAGAACAACCTTAGATGGCCACTCACAAGTTTTTAAGACCCTAGTTGCTAATCAGCAAAGTAGAACATTATCTTTGTGGACTATGTTATGCCAACTGACATTGGTAACCCGTAAAACTATAGTCCTGATGCCCCCAGGCTCAGTAACTCATTGCCTCAGGTGTTTGGTTATGTCAAAGAAGTTTCATAACTTTGTCCCCTATATTCTTTACCACAAGCATGAATATATTTGCAGCAAAGGTAAAAACCCATGTAAAAATATCCTCTGTCAAACCGATACATTTGTGGGTATACTCCCACTCTCCCTCTCTGTAAACGTTTATTGCATCACTGTTTGAAACGTGTAATATTTGAAAGCTACCTATAAGTCCTTCAATAAAGCAATAAATCAAATAAAGTATGGTTATCCATATTATAGAATTTTATGTAGTAATTTAAAATAGCATTAGATAAACCTCATATGTAATGAAGCAAAAATATACAATGCATTATCTAGTAATATGATTATATGTGTATGGTGGGCAGGGAATATGTGAATAAATGTTTTAAGTTCAGCAGGAAAGATCCACTGTGAGCAGTAGTTCTACTTCCAGGGAAAGCACTAGCTTGGTGGTAGGGAAGCAAGGGAAAAACCTAAACTTTTTACTTTCAATTGTTTGCAATCTTTGCCTCTTCTGTTTCAAAGAAACACTTGGTACTTTTGTAATTATTTAAAGGTGAAACCGGCAGAAATAAGGTCAATCCATTGAGATGGACATGTAAGAAGAAAACAAATATTTTTAATCTCACCCTAACCTAGAGCCCTCGCTCTCCCCAAACTAAGCTCCCACTACTGGACTGTAAGGCCCATGAGGTCAGAGACTAGATTGTAGCACCTGTCACAGAGCTGGGCACATAATAAGCACTTGATAAACACTGGATAAAGAATGAAGTAAGTCCAGGAAAGTATTGTATCCGTGTTTGCAGAGGGCAGAGACAGCTCTGACTGACTGACTGCCCACTGGACCAGTCCCTATCAACACTAATGTAGCTCAATGTGAGTGCATTAGGCAGGGCATCCTGAGGCCTGGATCTGGATTCCAGTCCTGGCATTCATTACCTGTGTACCTTCCTCACCCATAAAAAGACAAAGGGTGTCCTAATTCACACCCAGGCAGGCAGCCTCCAGCTCTAACTGACTGGAGAACAGAATGCACTGGAGGGAGAGATTTGACAGGCATGGGAGACGCTAGTCCATAGAAATTGGAGAATTTGTGACTAAGTAGGGGGAGGAGGACATGGGGGTGGTGAGCAAATTTTTGAAGGGCCCTGAGCCCCAGACATATTCAGGGGCAAGACAGTGACTTGCAGCTAGGCAGGAAGGATTTAATAATGAGTTCTGCCAATTAGTCGCTGTGGGAATTTGGGCAAATCACTTTAATTCTCCAAGTTAATTTTAGTTCTCTCAAAATAGAAATGATTTCATACTTGTTCAGAATGATAAGATTTTCATGAAGTAACATGTGCACTAACCTGACTTACTAGGTTTGGGTGCCACCGTGGGTGTTTCTATACCTGCCCACATATCTCAGTGCTCCACAGACCAGGCATACAGCTCACTGCAGACGACCCATGAGACCAGTCCCATAATGGAAAACTTGCTTTGCATTTGCAACTTTCAAAGCAAAAGTCAATCACTGGGGATACATAATGCTATCTTATTATCTTATCTTCTTCAGTATGATCTGGACTTCCCAAATGCTGCCACCTTCTTCTATCTACTATTTTCAAGTCACCTATCAGTTCCCTTTCTTGTTCTTTGGTATTGAATTTAAATTCAGAGTTGTTCAGATCCACTGCACACTTGAAATGCTCTCCTGCCAGCCCATGTGACCTAAGTGCATCCCTCTGTAGATTTGCTAGCGTCGGGCAGTAAGGATTCAGAGAGCAGAGTGCCACGCATATACCCATAGTGTGACAAGAAATATGAAGCATGGGCTCTGTACTTACTGGCTCACTTTATGGTACAGCTTAGCAATTCCCTGGTGGGTCCAATCCTTCCCAAGAGTGGGCAAAATGTGGCCAAGAGTATCTGACCTAAATATAGAAATGAGAAAAAATTCAGAGTGAAAAAAGAAAGCAACAAAAGGAACACAAGCCCATTCAAATTCAAGGCACCATAAATGCCTCATAACCACTACTCCCCTCCCCCCCACCCCATGACCAACAACATTATTTCTGGATGGAAAGCCCAAGGCTAAAGTAATCAAATGGGAATGCTTAAGAAAGGATATGTAAATACATGAAAGGGTACCTTCAGGATCTAGGCACTTGATGTGCTGAGTAAAAGTAAAAAGGCCCTTCAGAAAAGACACTCTTGGGAAACATCCATGTTAGCAGCAAAGTCAGGGAGCCAGTGCTCTCCATGACAACCACCCCAAACCAAGTACAGCCATGTAACTAAAGGAACTCAGCCTACAGGAGCAGCACTGAGCATGTGCACCACAAACCCATCTGTGGGGCTTCATGAGGCTACAGAGAGGGGAGAACTAAAGAGCTAATGCAAGGCCCAGGGAGCCTGCATCAGTGAAGAAATCCATCATTTCCCCCGAAATCAGCTGTACCTACCGAGTGATTGTCCCGTCAATATCAGAAATGACCACTTTATCATCCCAGTTCCACAAGTAGATGGTGCCTTCACAGCGACACGTGCCTTGATACTGTGTGGTCACACTGAAAACCACATCGTTCGGGCCGTTCTTCAACTTCAAGCTTTTCTGGAAAAAACAAATAATTTGTCTGCTTGAGAGGAAGGCCTGAATTGAGAGACATCTGGCTTCTATTCCTTGAGAGGGATTCCATTTTTCGTTATTGTTTTTTTTAAATCACTACCCCATGCCATTGTATACTGATTCTTCATTTAGCCTCTCTTGCTCTAAAAGAAGAGGGTCTTTCAGGGGGTGGGCAGAAAACCCTTAGCTCTTCTCTCAGGCCCAATTAAAATGCAGCTAAGCCCACTTCCTATATAGGTCTCTCCTTTCAAGGACATTGTAAACCTGCTTCAATATTTCTCTGTGAGAATTATGAGGCAGGGTTAAATGCCAGGTGACGGGTTGACATCATAAACCACAGTTTCAAAACAGTACATATTTACTACTCTGTCACTAAATATCAAGGTTCATGATTTAGGGAATTAATCTACTAAGTGTGAAAACATGTTTCCCTAAATAATCATATTTTTAATGATTACTAACCCAAATTGGGAAGAGAAAAAAATCTGTTATCAGTCACACCTTATACCCAAAAGAAAAGTCTTAACCACAGGAAATCACACCAAATTCAAAAAGCAAAATTACCTTTTGGCAGTTCTGCACCTCTTTGCTGGAAACTCTGATAAGTACCAGCTGCTTCCACAGACCCGCAGGGCTGCCTGACTGGAAGGCTCTGCCCCAGGGTTGCTGGTTAGAGCCAGGGGTCATGGCAGCTGTGGAGAGGCTGCATGTATATGGCATCTTGTAGTTGTCTGAGCAACAAGTCTCAAGACTTCCTTCAGAAAAGCTAGTAAGATACTCTCGATATCTGCAGCCTTCACAGTACAGTTTTGCAGCTTTGATGAGCTTCCTCATAAGCTGATTTTTCCAAAACCTTGTGCATGCTGCTCCAACACAGAATGGGGACTCCTGGACATCGCTACAACATGCCTTGTGCCTCTTACCAGAATCCAACACAGCAGCCCACCACCAACAAGACTGCAGCACATCCTGACATGTGCACTTAGAGTCTTAAAATGTCAGTATCTGAACTCTCTAAGTTAGTAACATTTAGTTGGGAAAGGATCGCATGGAACCAAAGGTCCTTGGCAAAATGGTAAGCTAGTTTACCATTTTCCTGCCATTCTTCCTGTCATTATACCTCTCCAACTAAAATAACAGTGGGGAGGAAGCCAGCCACTGATCAGTTCAAGAGCTTTTTTCAAGAAAGAAATGGCAGATATTGGTTTGTTAAAATGTATTGAAATCAAAATACATTCAATCTTCATCCAATGAAGGTTAAAATTCTCAACATGTCAAGTATAGCTAGTTGGGAAGTAAAACACATTCTTTAAAAAAAAAAAAAAATTGGGTGTACGATGCTGATTAAATCTTATTAATAGTGATGTGAAATACATTCACTTGTCTCACTTTTTAAAAACAGAGACACTGCATGTATGTGGCATCATGTGGTTGTTTGGGCCTGTTCATTATCTTCTCCCACTAAATAGCAACCAAGCCTGGTTCTCCAATGACTCTTAGGCAAAAGACAGTATCAGCAAAAAACAAAACAAAACACAGAGGAATACTGACTCACTGACTGCTTATGGGAAAAATGAGGGAGCTTCAAACAGTTCATGTGAAGATTCCATTATATTTAAATTACAGTTTTCCATGAACTTTTTGAATTCCTCTCATAGAATCCAAGGAAGACATGGGCCCAACTGAAAGTAGTCTGACACACAGGAGGCAACAAAGGATAATGTGGCCACAGGATGTCTGCCAAGATCTAAAATGTTCTAAAGCCCGCCACAACCGCTTGCTTTTTACCTATTTAAGAGATGTGTTTGACTTAGCAAATATCTCAAAGTAAAACACCACTAAGATATTTTTAAGCTCATTTATACTTAGATACAAATCAGTTTAATCAGATGGCTTTCCTCCCAGCACTTGGAAAAAAGAACCTCCAGTACTGAGTTAGGGAAGACAAAAGGAGAGGTAATATTAAAGAGTTGGCTTACATAGGATGCTGACATAGTGGGGAGCAGCTGGGAAAAAGGGGTACCAAAATGAGGGGTCTGAGGTAGCCAAAGGGTAGCAGGCACTCTGGGTGCCAGGAAGTAAACAAGTAGGATCCAGCAAGTCTGAGGACTATCTAGCCAATCACATATACCACACCCAGAGGACCAACACTTGGCGAGTACTGACAAACAGAGCCGCGGTGCAAATAAGAGACTCACCAGCTGCTCTGAAGTGAGCCGGAGAGTCTTTTTGTAGCCGACATTAGACAAAAGAGGGAGGTGGCTTGCATTTGATGGCTTGGCAGCTGCATGCTCTTCATCACTGGAGGATGATTCATGCTTTATTCTGGAACAAACAGTGATGTAATCACCAATTAGAAAATGCATCTGGGTAGCCATTAAAAATGCATTAGCCCTGAATCAATGACTAAGTCAATCGGGTCTCTCCTGAGCACTGTCTCTTGGGTGGTCATTTACCATACGGCATTAAATTTATCAATGAATGCTCACTAAATTCCCATTCATATACCTCTTGCATTATTCATCTGGGGGCTGCCTCTCCTCATTCACTTTCCAATTTACTAGCTATCATCACTCTATTTTAAACCAATAGATTTCTATTCACAATAAGTAGACTAAAAACTCCCTCCTTGCCTAGGAGGATGCTACCAAGCCGCTCAGCCTCTCAGGTTCCCCTGCCTGAGGCTAGAGAGTAAGCACTAGGAATTCAAAGTTCCACAAGTTCAAACTGGTCATTTCCCTACTTATATACATACTCTCCAACCATACAGTTCCAAATAATCAAGACATTATTCTAGGACATACAGATAGGTGTCATTGAAAATAAGGAGGATCTTCTCCTTCAAAATCCCTAACCACTTCCCTTTCTCTAGGTTGTCACAATAGCAACAAGTGCTGCACCTTAAGCACCTGCATAGAACCCACAGGACCATGCTTCTAACTTTGATAACTTGCCACTGGATGGGAGGTTGGAGAGTGCAGGGTGATGATCATGTTCATTTTCTTTCAGTAGCTCATATAAAGTATCTCAATAATTAATTATTCCTTATATTAAAATCCTGCTGCAATATAATCCCCAGCCCAGTTGTACTAGCTCTGCTTCCTAGGGGCAATACCTTTAATAATGTTAAATCTTTTCAGTACCTTTAGTAAGGTCTTACACTTTGACAAAGTGCCACACTAAATGTGAAAGGCAAAGTGGCCCCAAAATAGGCTCATCCCAACTCCCCACGTGCTGCTTTGACTCCCTGTAAAACGTGGGGCTCAGCACATCCTTTAGGCAAGAGTTCAGTATGTGTTGTTTTTAAGTGCCATCAAGTCAGTTCCAACTCATAACAACCCAGCAGTTGATGCGTTTGAACCATCAACCTTGCAATGAGCAGTCCAGTGCTTATCCTATAGTGCCACACTAACAGTCATGCATAGGAGCGCCATTTCATTTTTTACTCAAAAAAATCTTAGCTCTTTTGATGCTAATGCCCTGCTGTTCTCCTGACTCCCATTTCCTCGCTGGTCCTCCTTCCCTACTACCAGAAAATCAGCAGATATCTCCTATGCACCTTTTTCACCTTCTTAATCATGTCTATTCATTCCAGAAGCAATTCCTACAATTTAATGCAATACTGTCAACAAGCTGGGGCAGATATGAAGGAAGATATGATTACACAATGTCCCAGATTCTGTTATTTCTGCCACATCTTATGTGGAGACTCGAGTCTTTCCATCCCTAGAATGTGCTGCTCCCAGGAGAGGGCTCATTCAACCAATATTATTATACAAATGCCAGGAGTACGTAGCAAACAACATGGCCCCTACTCTCACAGGGCTTTTTGTCTGGCATGGGGATAAACAATCACAGCACAGCAGGGCATGTGCTGTGATGGGACAGAGAAGGGTCAGATGGGAGCATCTGGACGTGGATCTACACACAACAATCTGGGCTTTTAGATGCAGATTTGACAGTCAGTGGGACACAGCTGTGGGAACAGGTGATTGTATAGAATCAAAAGGACGGGGAGCTTAGGTAACAGTTTTGATTGGTCCACAGCAGGGCTAAACTACATGTGACATGAAACAACACACATAACATTGTGGGCTGATTCTACATACAGTAGAACCATTCAGAATTAGGAAGATCTAGCTTTGAACCCTGGCTAGTAACATTGACCAAATCATTTCTTTCCCTTTCAGGCTTGGTTTCTTTACTCTAAAATGCAGAAGAGCAGACCGCATACCACACACCAAAAAATTCAGGGTTGCAAGCCTGGAAAGAACTAGACTGAGAGACATGAGTTCCAATGAAGACTCTTTAATGACTCAGTACCTCTCTTGTTCTCAGCAGACTCCTCTGTTGTCCCAACAAGTCTATCCAGTTCTAGCATTTGAGCATCTTATGAACAATAGTAAGGAGCTCTGGTAGCGTAGTGGTTACAAGTCAGGCTACTAACCTCAAGGTCACCAGTTCGAAAGTACCAGCCGATGAGGCTTTCTGCTCCCTTAAAGATTTACAGCCTCGGAAACCCTATACAGGCTCGCTATGAATTGAAACTAACTCCACAGCACACAACCACCACCATCATTAGCACTACTAGTTCTTCTGAACCAACACACCCAATAGTTTGCAGACGGAAAGGTCCCTGGGTGGGGCAACAGGTAAGCACTCAGCTACTAACCAAAAGGTTGGTGATCTGAATCCATCCAGAGTTAGACTCAGAAGGAAGGTTTGGTGATCTATTTCTTTAAAAAGAGCAGCCATTGACAACCCTATAGAGCACAGTGCTAATCTGACACACATGGGGTCGTTATGAGTCAGAGTCAACTTGATAGCAACTAGTTTCAGACACTTTAGTCATGAAGCAAATCTGGCCTGACACATGCTTGGGTGGAAAGAAGAAGAATGGAGCTGCAGGCCGCCTCGTTGAATAGGAAAATGTTTATGTTCCCACAAAACAGCTTTGAGTGAAATTAGATCCAAATGTGAACCAAAGCTCTGAGTGACAACAGATTGATGGGTGCCTCTGCCAGGAGGACGCAGAAGCAGAGCGGAAGAGCTGTGATTCCCATCTGCTGCTTTAAAAATAAAAAAACATACAAAATAACTAAATTCATTTTAGCATGCCGTGTTTGGGAGAATACAAAGAGGAAAACACAGATATAAAACCTAAAATGGGAGTTGTACAACTAGCTGCGGACAATCTCAGTGCAGAGCAAGTAAACAGTCAAGTACAGTTGCCGCCTCCAGGGTGAAACAAAATGGCCCCTGCCCCAGAAGCCCTCACTTTTCCAGTGGCTCATTAAATGTTTCTTGCTTTAAAGGGTCTCTGCAAGAAGCAGTAAAATGAAACAAAAGGGCTTGTAACACTTGAGAAATCTGTGTTCAGAGGAGTAGCTGTTAACAACATCTAAGTTAGCACTTGTCACAGTGTACATTCTTCAAATGGTATTTTAATTATTTGTATGGTGACAAGCTGTTTGCTCAATTATGGGACTTAAGGGACTGTTCCATCAATCAAGTCTGTCAATTAGGAAAACACTCCAACACCCCCTTTTTTTTTTTTTTAAGTTGACTACATGAATCTAATAATTTCTCAAGGATACTAAAAGCCTAAGACACTAAAGAAAAAAGGCTTGCCTCTCCCAAAAGAACTTTATATTAATATTTCATTTTCATGAGTCAAGTCTTCATTTCCTAGGTTTAATACAGAAGTTTAGCATGACTAATTCAGAATAGTGAATACTCTTAAAATATTTATTTTTCATTTCAACTGGGAAAAGCGTTTTTGTCAACCTGTGGATAGAACTGTATCTGCTAGTAAGACAATTCCTAACACTTCAAATAAGCTACAGATGTTTCAACATGGAAAGAGGCCCCTCCCTCCTCACCTTGTCCAGCTTCCTCCTTGGGTACTCCATGCTACTGCCAGAAAAACAGTAGTGGTCACGTCAGCAGCACCCGCTAAAGTCATGCATACCCGCTTTATACCAGACACTGTACTAATTGGGAGTTATATATTATCCCTTTTACACATTTTTAAATCTCAGCTCCATCTTAAAGATCCCAGACAGAGAGACCAGAGGCTGAATTTGGCTTAAAGGTCCCAAACAGGCATATTGCAGACTGAATTTGACAGCCATCTTTCATCTGGCCCTCAGGAGCTTTCAAAAACTTTTAAAATGGAATGGTTTAAAACTGAGCGTGTGATCTCCAGATCACCACAGATTCACCCCTCCTGGTAGTTTACCTTCAGCCACCTCATGCACATACCCCGTTCTTAGACACCACTGGTTTTTGCATTCTTGACTAAAGGTAAAATGATCACGTTTCCCATAATGCATCCACGTTACATGTCGTTTTGTATTATTCCTATCTCCATTTCACAGATGAAAAAAAAAAAACCTGACTAATTTGCCAACAGGTACAGAGTTTGTCTAAGTCCCTGTTACTGCACTACCTCTCATGTCTGGAGATTATTGCTAGAACAGAGACAGTTCTTTAAATGAATTCCAAGAAAGCAGGACACATCCAGTGCAATAAAATGCGTACAACAAATATCTCTGCACCTTCATGTACTCACTCATAAATTCACTCTCTTGTGCAGTCACAGCCTCCTCCCAGTTGCTCTGTGCATCAACATCAGACTTTTACCTTTGTTCAGCTATGGTAAGGACTCTGCCTCGGCTCAAATGGCTAATAAGTGGCATTCCCAGGTTTCCAAAGCCTATGATGTTTCTATTACAACTTGATGTCTCCCATAATAATCACCTACTGAATATCCACTGTGTACCAGATTCTATACTGGCTGCTTTGTAGATCTTTTCAAAGGACGATAATATATTCTTGGCCTGTTCACCATCTTACAAATACCTGCCTTTTCCCTTCCAAGTTCATTCAAAGTCAAACTCAAAATTCCAAATGGAAAAGTATCTAAGCGTTCTTACATGAATGCCTACTATGCGTCAGATATAAAAATGATTTAGAGATGGATCTTACCCTCAATTAATTTGCCAGAATTTTCTGTTTGCTAAGTAACAAATGTAATAATTAGGTTTCTTAAGTAGAGATATAAGGAGTTCTGGTAGCATACTGGTTACGAGTTGGGCTGCTAATCTCAAGGTCAGCAGTTCAAAACTACCAGCTGTTCCGCTGGAGAAAGATGAGGCTTTCTGCTCCCATAAAGACTTATAGCCTCGGAAACCCTATACAGGGTCGCTATGAGTCAGAAACAGCTCCATAGTAAGTATTTAAACTTTAAATAAAGGTAAGCTCCTTCAGCAGAGATACTTACATTTTCACATCATTGTGAATGCTATTATTCCTATTATTAATATTTTGTGAATACTGAGGACTACTATATACTCTAGTTAGATTATCTCATTTAGGCCTTGCATTTACCTTGTAAATTAGATACGTGGGAGCAATTGCCTCCATTTTATTTACAGAAAAATCAATTCAAATAAATAGGTGCAGGTCAGTGTGTGAATGTCAGAGCCAGGGCTGGTACCCAGGTCAGATCTGGTCCAAAGCCTGGGCTATTTGGTGAACCCATCAGCATCCAAAAGGAGCTCTGGTAGTGTAGTTGTTATGAATTGGGCTACTAACCTCAGGGTCAGGAGTGTGAAAGTAGCAGCGGCTCCACGGGAGAAAGATGAGGGTTTCTGCTCCCATAAAGATTTACAGCCTCAGAAACCCTGTACAGGGTTGTTATGAGTCGGAACCAACTCCACGGCACATAACAACATCAGCATCCAAAGGAACCCTGGTGGCACAGTGGCTAAGCAATAGGCTGCTAACCAAAAAGTCAGTAGCGCTGAACTCTCCAGCCATTCCACAGGAGACAGATGTGGCAGTCTGCTTCTGGACAGATTTACAGCCTGCGAAACCCTTTGGGATGGTTCTACTCTGGCCAACAGGCTATGAGTTGGTCTCGACTCAAGCAAGGGCAGTGAGGAAAGATCAGCATACAATTGGCACGTGCCATGCCTCTGGAGTTGTAGCATCCCAACCCCAAATGTAGTGCAACACCCCAAGACAACTCTCACTGTACCTGGTGGCCATGCTAAGCTGTGACGGCTGCTCTCCAGTATTGTGGCCCTTTGTAGCCAAGCATTGCTCTGGCTTACTTTCCTGGAGAAGAAAAGAAAGAGTCATGAAAAGCGTGGACGGGAAAGGGCCTGAGCAACAGCTGGTGTTCTATGATGGGCTCCCCTAAGACTCAGGGTAGGTCCCCAAAGGGAGAGCCTCCTCTATTGGCAAACATATCAGGGGTGGTCCTGGAATGCTTATTGGGGCAGGTCCTACTTACTCCTTTGCTTAGAAACATACAATTAAGCTGAGAAATATTTTTGACAGAAACGAGTCTGTTATCCATAAGTGTTTGTGGCATGAAACCAAACTTCATAATCACTGTAGCTTATGCAAATGCTTTATCAAGGGCTGCTTGGATACCCGAGGGCTTTCAAAATATTTTCTTATAATTGCTGGTAGAAATGCTTGAAAATATTTTCACACCATATTTTGCTTGGGAGAAATGTGGAAGCATCTTCTCTTTTTCAAAACCGCATATTCTTTCTTAATAGAATATGTTCCTGTGGCGTATTGGAATGGACCTGGGATTTCTAAAAGAACAGGACTCAGCCCTGCTTCTATTACACATCAACCCTGGGCAAGCCATTTAATCTCTGAAAGTCCACTTCCCACATCTGTAAAACGGTAGTGGCCATGCCAGTCTCGAGACACGATGCCGTACACAAAGCACAACAGCTGGCACACAGCAGGCACCAAAGTCAAAGGAAAAAGGTTACACAATTCAATCGCACTATAGTGGTCCTGGTGTGGTACTGTAGGATAACCACTGGACTGCAAATCCTAAGGTCAGTGGTTCAAACCCTTTACAGGGTCACTAGGAATCGGAACTGACTCAATGGTACTTAGCAACAACAGCAGTGGTCATTGGTCCTGAGAAAGATGTTAATACTTTCTACTGCACTACTTTAATAAACCAAAGTTTACTAATAAACAAGTCGATTATGACTCATAGTAACCCTATGTAGGGTTTCCATGGATACAAATCTTTACAGGAGCAGAAAGCCTCAACTTTCTCCTGAATAGCAGCTTGTGGGTTTGAACTGCTGGCCTTGCAGTTAGCACTCCAGTGCTTATCCCACAGAAGATGAATATTATAATACAAAGTGACCATTTTGACATATGATGAGTACGAAACTAGCTTCAAATATGTCTTAGCCTTATGAAAGCATACAGTTGATACACCATACCAAGTCATTTTCAAATACTGAGGCAGGTTGGTGTTAAGTGCTGTTGAGTCAATTCTGACTCACAGCAACCCTCTATAGGGTTTTCAAGGAGCAGCTGGTGGATTTGAACTGCTGACCATATGACTCACAGGCCAATGCTGATCCTACAGTGCCATACCAGGAATCCAACTGAAGCAGGTGTCCACTACTATTGACAATTTTCATAAGGCTAGTTCAAAAATATATATTTATTCCAAATACACATTTCACTATTTTTCATAAATATTTAATTTAATAAATATCCCATTATTTCCTTCTGTCATTCTACTTAAACCAAGACATCAAATAAAGATGACTTTAAAATATCCATTTGCCTTAAAGTCTAGAATATTAGTATCTGTAGTAAGAAAACTAAAAAGGTCCTTAATACTTTAAATCCTCTAATGTAAAACACGTGAGGGTAAGTCAAAATGTGCTGCTACATAATCACAGAATCATTATGAAACAAAGATATCACAATATGAACTATTGTTTCTTAACATATCCTCCATCGCGGTCTATGCATTTCTGAAGACAGTCCTTCTATTTCTCTAACCTTCCCTCTAAAGAATTCTGTGCTCTGTGATTTATACTACAGCAAAACAACAGTTTTATTATCCTTGAAGGACTCAAATCCTGTTCTTTTTAATGTTGAGTTTAAGGAACAAAAAGAAATCTGAAGGGACAAGACTAGGGCTACACGGTGGACAGGATAAGATTTCCCAACAAAATTCACATAGCACAGCCCTTGGTAGTCTCGAAGAATGAACACTGTCATGATGTGAAAATTCCTTGGTGCAACCTTGGTGCAATCCAGCTTTCAGTTTTGCTAAGATTCCTTCCTAATAAGTCCCCATGATTGTCCTGTACCCTTCAAGAAAAGTCTATCAAGATTACTTCTGTGGAATTCCAAATAGCAGTCACCATAATGTTCTGAGTTGATCTCCTTGTCTTGAATTAAACTGACCCAACAGATCCCCTAAGAAGCTACCATTTTGATTGGACCTTGCTCTCTATGTTGTATTGGTAAATCCAAGACCCGTTCGCCCGTACAATCATTCCACAAAATCATCTGCAGTATCTTTAATCTTGCTTAAAAGACTGATGGAAGGATCAGCTTTTTGAGATCCAAGCTATTGGAATCCATCAAGTCAAAAGTTTGCTGATGTCAAAACATTCACTTAAAATTGAAAATGCTAAAACTTCTATAGTCTTCTTTCACCAATTTCTGTACTTCAGCCAGTTTCTTCATTCATTAAGGTTGACAGTCTTTCTTCTCTTGGCTGAATTGTGAAGTCTTCCTCATCTTCCTTAAAACAACTAATCCATCCATCTACAGACTGGTGTTTCATGTGGGCAGCATTCCCATCAACTTTTGCAAAGCTTCCATGACTTATGAAGACGTCCACTTGAATTGTTAAAAATCGTTTTTGACCATGGCACACACAAAAAAATCCTTTTTTGAAGGTGTCCTAATGAGACTAAGACAAGCGTAGTACTGAGAGAACTGTCTGCAGCCACTGAGACATGTTTAAACAAAATCTGTTGAAAAACAAATGGAACTTATTTTTCGCTTATTTATTTTTTTACTCTCATATTTTTATAACTTGTTTATATCTTTGGGAAATAATAAAACAATCATCAAAACTCAGGGATGCTAACAGGAAAGGCTAAAGAACAATTATAACTTGGGTAAACTCTTCCAACAGACTTTTTCCCTTTAAACTAATGGAAAAAATAAATTTAGTTCCTTGTACTGGAGTTTTTGTTAAAATAAGCAACTGTGGCTTTTCAATACTACATTCCAAATAAAAATGGTCAATAAACATTTGCCAAACCCCTACCCTGGGTTCATCATGAGCACAGAGATACCACAGGGAACAGAGTCAGGCATGATCTCTCTTCTCATGGAGCTCATGGGCTATAGGGAAAAAAAGACGTTGATCTAATAGTCACACTTGTCGAACCACCAAGTCAGTTGGACTCATCGCAACCATGTACAGGGTTTCCAAGGCTGTTTTGTTGGAAAAGAAAGCCTCATCTTTCTCCTGTGGAGTGACTGGTGGGCTCAAACCACCAACTTTACAATTCGTAGTCCAGTGTTTATCCTACACCACCACACCAGGACTCCATAGTCACATAATAATTGTATAAAGTTTGACAACGTTTGTGAAGGAAAGGTTCAGAGAACTATGAGAACAGACTCATCTGTTAAGAAAGGACCATTTAAGCAGATAGGTAATTAAGTAAAGAGGCATAGGGGGATCCTAAGGACACTAAACCACACTCACACATACACACAAACCCAGTACCACTGAGTCAATTCCAGCTCACAGTGACCTTTTAGGACAGAGTAGAGCTGCTCCTTTGGGTTTCTGTGACTATAAATCTTTATGGGAATTGTTGTTGTTGTTACCTATCATTGAGTCAGTTCCAACTCATAGCGACCCTGTATAGGGTTTCTGAGAAACGGCTGGTGAGTTTGAACCATCGGCCTTGTGATTCAAATGACCTTGCGGTCCACTGCTTATCCTTCAGCGCCACACCAGAAGTCCTTATGGGAAGAGACAGCTTTATGCGTCTCCACAGAGCGGCTGGTGTGTTTTAAAGCACTGCCTTGCAGTTAGCAGCCCAATGCTTAACCCACTGCACCACCAGGGCTTCTTCTTAAATATTACTAGTGGTGGTGGTGATTATGTGTCGTGAAGTTGGTTCTGACACATAAGAACCCTGAATAGGGTTGCTGAGGCTGTAAAGCCTCATCTTTCTCCCACAGAGCAGCTGGCAGAGGAGGAAAATCCAGTGGCACAGATGCCATGTGAAGTTCAACAAAGAAGAAACCGGAAAAGAAAAAATTATATATATGCGTTTTGCATGTGACTGCAAAACACAAGGTCAGCAGTTCAAACCTACCAGCTGCTCCTTGGAAACTCTACACAGAATCAACATGAGTCAGAACTGACTTGACAGGACTTAACAACAAGTTGTATATATATATAAGAAGGGGGCTCCACAAAGTTCATGGAAAAATTCCATTATCTTTTCATTTCATTGTTTCACAAACGTTTTGAAGCCCTCCTTATACATGCATTTATATAGATGGAAACCAAAGCCACATACAAGGAGTTTTCAAAATATTCATGGAAAAAATTTTACTACCTTTTAATTCCATTTTTCCATGAACTTTTTGTAGCCACTTCATATATTTAGACATGCCATAGAAGTGAAATGGCAAATGAAAACAGACTATCACCGTAGGTATCTCTCATTAAAATTATCCCCAAAAGAAGTAAGAGGCTATTTAATTCTTTAAAAGAAAGCCAACTGAAAGACTCTTAGAATGACTAAGTTGAATACCCTCTTTTTACAGATGAAACCGTGTTACAGAAAGGAGGAACCTGACCACGGTTTCCAAGTTAACAGGTAGCAGAGCCAGGAGATGAGCTCAGGTCTCTGCTCACTCTTCTTTTCTACCTTCTTCACATTCTCTGTTGCCTTTCCCTACTTTGTAGCAGAGTTAGCTCATGAAAATGCAGTATTATGGCTTATGTTTATTTCTCTGGCATGAGAGCACAAAAATATAAACTTCACCACACAAAATCTAAATTTGCTAAGTAGAAACACTGCTTTGCTTTCTGTGCTTACCTCTTTGATTGTGGTATTTCTTCCCCTCCATGAAAACCACCATCTTCCTCCCTTTTTAGGCATCTTATCCCTCATGATAGATTCCACAGTGGCCTGTTTTAAATGGATGGCAACATAAATAATGGAACAAAAAAAAACAAAAAAAAAGATTCAACTTAGCACATTCAAACCAAAAGAAACACACATGCAAATTAAAAGAAAATCAGAGAAAACACAACATACTGTTTGTGAATTTAAAATTTTAGAGAAGCAAAACCTAATGGTGTCCAAAATTACATTAAGGTAACTTAAGCATGAAGACTTAGAAGATGTTAAAGGAAAAAACAAACAACAAATAAAATACAACACAACAACAAGGAAAAAAAAAAAAGAAAGAAAAAGAAAGCATTAAATATCATTAGTGATTAGTAAGGCCAAAAGTTTTCAAATGAAAGTGATTTATTGGTTAAGGTATTAACTGTCACTCTCAATATGATGATTATAAAATAAAACATGGAATGATTAACATGGAATATAGAATACAAGTTTTAAACAAAAGCTAAAATGCACTGGATCTTTTTAGTAAGTTTCCAAATTTTTACAAAATGAGTATTAATAGATGGATCTGACTTAAAATCTCAGACATTAATAGGAAAGTCCAAACTCCTAGCCTTTCACCTTAAAATAAAGTCTGATGAGAAAAGATTAAGTGTAAATGAATAATTTCCTATTTTCAAAGGATAAGAGGGTTAATTCCAGGACCACAGTAAATGTTATCTAATTCCCTCTCCTCAGTTTACAGATCATTCAAGTAACCAAAAACCTCAGCTTATAATGAAAGGAAGACTGAAGTCTTCCAATGTAACAGGCAGCAGAGAGGGTAGGATAAATAGTTCACATAGCCTAAGTATGCGTTTTAACATGTGAAATATCCTAAACACAAAAAATAACCCTTAAATATGTAAAAAATGAGAATAGGAGAATCCATAAAGATAACAATTCCCCTATTCCTCCTAAATTCATCCATAAATGTAATACAATTTCAATTTTTAAAAAAGAAAGAAAAACTAATCAGATCATTTTCAGACCCTGACAAACTGATTCTAAAATTCATTTGGAAAAACAAAGTAGGTATCACAAGTCCTACCAGATATTAAAATGTTTATAAGCTATAGCGATTACAGGAATGAAGTCTCAGTGTATAATCAGTACAAATAAACATCAATGATACTGAAATTCTAGAAACAAATCTAAGTTCACAGGGACATTTAATATATGATGAAGCTGTAATTCTCTATCAGCGTTATCTGGATAATTAAGAGCCCTGGTGGTGCAGTGGTTAAAGCAGTCCACTGCTAACCAAAAGGTCAGCAGTTTGAATGCACTAGCTGCTCTGTGGGAAAAAGATGTGGCAGCCTGTTTCCATAAAGATTTACAGCCTGATAAATCCTATTTGTTGTAGTTGTTAAGTGTTGCTGAGTCAATTCCAACCCTGTCTAGAGTTTCAGAGGAGTGGCTAGTGGGTTTAAAGCTCTGACCGTGTGGTTAGCAGTCCAGTGCTTATCGTACAGCACCACACCAGGACTCCTATAAGTCAGCATGACTGAAAAGCAATGGGCTTGAATTTTTATTATATTAAGATAATCGAGTACGATCCTGTTAGCTGGCTCTCTAGATGTATGATTATACCCTTTCTTTCCTGCTAACAGATCCCAAGTTCTGTTCAAGCTGCAATATGGTCAGGGAAGACAAGTTCAAGGCCAGGGTATAAACTTTGGTTGGCTAAGACCATTCATAGTCATTCTATTGCTTTGCCAACAACTAGTTTAGGGGTAATTATATGTCCTTTATGGCCAATAAAATATGAGAAGTCTGTCCCCATCCTTAGAAATTCTGGATGTGGTCATGTGAGGTAATGATGTGGGGCACAGTCATCCTGTGACCATAAAGGAAAAGTCAAGAAAATCACAGAGAAACTAACCCAAATTAATTAAACCCAAAACTACTGACCTCTATGATTCTTATTATGTAAGATAATATACTCCTATAATTTAAGCCACTTTTAGTCACTGTTTCCAGGGACAAAAAAAGCATTCTAACGGAATTCAATATCTAGCTGGAAAAAAACTGATTTGGATTCTTATTCCCCACTCTCAATCCTCAAAATGAAATCTAGATGGATCAAACTCACTCATTTACCCTAAAATGAAATCCAGATGGATCAAAAAATTTAAATAAAAGAAAGTACTAAAAGAAAATTGTTGCTGTTGCTAAGTGTTGTTCTGTCGGCACCAAATAATAGCAACTCTGTATGAGGTTTCCAAGGATGTAAATCTTTACAGGAACAGAAAACCTCATCTTTCTCCCATGAAGCGGCTGGAAGACTGGAACCGCCAACCTTGTGGTTCACAGTTCAGTTTTTATCCTACAGAGCCACTATACTCCCTAGAAAAAAATATAGGAGTTTATTTTTATAATTTAAAAAAATAAAAAACTAGAGCCTTTCTAAGTGTGACATAAAACCTAGTTGCTATTCAACATCTTTATTTGACTATCTAACAGACAAATCAACTGGCATGTCCAAATCTGATCTGAATACATTAAGAATATGACCACCTGTCTCAAATATCACCATCGCTCACCTGGTTACTGCAGTAGATGCCTACCTAGTTTTCCTTCTTCCCTCTCTCCCAATTCAGTAACATTAACAACCAAGTCAGATCACATCACTCTTCTCAAAATTCTTCAATGGCTGTCCACTGCACCTATACAGAGATACTGGGAGCGCCAACATTTAGGTGTCTGGAAGGGAGGAATTAGCAAAGCACAAAGAGAGAAAGAGGTATCCTGAGAGTAAGCAGAAGTTTTCACGTGAAACCCACTGAAAGTGTCCCAAGGAGGAAAGAGTGGTCATGCGGATCAAATGCTGCTGACAGGGCAAGGAAGAGCAGATGAGAAAACTGGCTATTGTACTTATCAACTTGGAGGTCACTGGTGTCCCTGATGATACAGGGAGCACAAAAGATAGATTGGGCTGGAGATTCCAGACAGAAGAGAAATTGAAGGTGGAAAGTCGAGCAAGTCTTTCAGAATCCTGCTATAAAAGTGAGAAGAGCAGGAGAGTAGTGGAGGGTTTTGGAGAGACAACTAATAGCATGTATATGATAGGCACATTGATCTAGTGGAGAGACAAATATTAATGATGAAGAAAAGGGGGAAGAGAAACACATATTTATGATACAGAAGGAGGGTTGAGTTGCTGGAGTCATGCCAAGAGGATCTTAGCTTAAAACACAGAAAGTTCATTAACCAGAGACAAGGCAGAGTGTGCACAAATGTGGTTAGGGGTAGACACAGTGGAAGCTTTTTTCTGATTGCTTCGTTTTCTCAGTGAAATAAGAAGCAAGGTATTCAACATTGAGTAAGGAAGGTAATAGCAGTGTGGCAAGACCTCGGGACTCTTGGGCCCAGAGTCAGTGACATAGCCACAGAAGACTAGAGT